CCCTAAACTCTACTCCCAAAAATATCAATTTTTGTGTTTGTGGTATTTTCGAAAATTAAATCTTTTGGTAGTATTTTTGAAACATTAAAATAATAGTGATATTTTTGAAAACAAAACTTGAAAGTTTGGTATCTTAAAGATTTCTCTAAAATCTATCTTTTTGTTTTTGCAGATTATCGCACGTTGCATTTACTTACATGTACAGTACTCCACCTCACTTTCTATAAATAGAGGTTTTGCATGGTACACTATACTCACAAAATCCTCCTCTATAAATTTTTTTAAAACATCAAAGATAAACAAAACTAGTGTTTAAAAAAAATCATCCACAATGGCTACTAAAGCTTGGCTTTTCTTAAGTCTCATTGTTGTTCTTTTCATCGCTTCTGAGGTGGCAGCTAGGGACCTAGCTGAAAATTCAGCAGAAAGTAAGAACAAGGGTATGTATATTTGAAAGTTGAAACCTATTTATTATTCTATAAATCACTTAACGGGTGCACGGATAAGATTTGATTATTCAATCAACCCTTTCGAAAAAATTCGTCAGCTTTAATACGGATGAATCAAAATTATTACAAATTACTCACTTTTATTAGGTACTTTATAAATTAGGTAGGAAATCCGATTTACACTGATTAGATGCACGGTTAAGAATATGTATTAACGAAAATCTGGGGTTTGAGATAACAGAGAAAGAAGAAGAGATGCAAACTGAGCAGAATGGTGGAGGCCCCGGTTCATATGGTGGTGGAGGCCCCGGTTCATATGGTGGTAACCGCGGTGGTGGATATGGTAATCGGGGTGGATATGGAGGACGTGGTAGAGGATATTGTCGCTANGGCTGCTGCTACAGAGGCTANTACGGTGGCTGCTCTAGGTGTTGTGCTTATGCTGGTGAGGCTGTTCAAGCTCATCCAAAGAGTACTGAGCCTGCTCACTAAGACTCATGCATATGGCTGCGTCCCTTATTTCTATATATATATAAAGAATTCCTATTGATCCGTTGGGCTATGAAGTATGAGTGTCCAGTTTACCAAAAAAAAAAAAAGTATGAGTGTCCAGTCAAATAAAAGGGAACAAGAAAGATATAGTGAAGTACCCAGGGTTTGGCTCAAGTTATTACCAATATAAAAGAGTATGGAAACTGTCTTTTGTTGGGTTTGTGTTCGAATAAACATGATAAGGTATGTTTGAATAAAAAAACGTTTGATGTATATATGTATTATATTTATATGGACAATATATCAAATATTTAATGCATCCGAAATGCTCATTATCTACATTCTTAGAAAAGTCACGAGCAACAACTGATTCATTGAAAGCTGTCATTTTGTTTCACTAGACTACACACATAAGTAATCAAAATATTTTCAAGAGAGAAATGACCATATGCACTTCATTTCAAGCAATTAAATTTCTAATA